ATCAGTCTGTCCTTTTAATTCCTTATTAAGCATGACAAGGACACACTGTTGTCAAGTGAAGGGCCGGCATGAAACTCAATACTATTTGGTTGTAGTGCAGGCAGTTTGCATTCGTAGTAATCTGTGGCATTCGTGCATTCTCGTTTCGGATTACTTGTTGTGTGTGTTTATTTGCGTTTTTTTTCCATTAATTTAACTATTTCGGCTATCTAATATACCATCGATGTTACCAAAGAGCAGAGACCTTATTACCAAGTGCTAGTGAACCTGTGCCACAACATCCTGAGAGGATTATACTGCCAAATTATTCAAGAGCACCTGATACACATTTACACTGCATATTTACACAATATACATGTGATATACAAATAAATACAATATACAATACGATACAATTATGTGAAAAATAGTCAATAAATAAGAAGCAATACTACAGTTTTTATTTTATTCATGATTTCTACCTAACCAAGATTTTCCTAATAGTTATTCTTTAAAATCGCACCGAATAAAAATGAAGTAGTTTTAATATTAATTTACTTCATACTGAGTTCATACTAAGTTCAGAGGTTGACCTATGTTTCATTTTATAATAAACATAACCTTTATTTTATTGTTGGGAAAATGCGTGACGCATACCCCGCCCCTGGGTGAGAGACGGGGTTATGTGGGACTCCTCCTCCCCCCAAATCCCGCCCACCCGCTGAGCCAACTTGGCTCAGCGGCTGTTCGGGATGAAGGGGTGGCCCTACCCACTAAAAACCCAACAGTGCTCCCTCGCCTGCCGGAACGGGTTTCGTGGGATCCGGATGACTCTCCACGTTACCCCCGGCAGGAGTTCCTCCGCCTCCTGGCGGTCAGGGGGATACCCGGGAGCACCCAGGCATCCCCCCTCGACGGGTGAGACTGTGCAATGCGGACGGCGGACCACCCTGTCCGCCGCCCGCTAGTCCCACTAGGGTAGAAAAAGGCGGTCGTACTGCCGCCGCCTTCCACCCCGCCGTCGGCGGCGGAGAGGGCCGGCCCGGGCGTCCTCCTCGCGGGCCCTCTCCGCTGTCTCCTTCTGGAGGATGACTTCCTCGCAGAAGGAGACTACCGCAGTCCAGGATCTGTCGTTGTCCAGCATCGCTTTAACGACGCTGGGCAACGAGAGATCCCTTCCTATTGCCATGACCATATCATGGCGCTGCCGAGACCACGACGGGCACTCCTCAAGGGTGTGCTGCGCCGTGTCCCCGACAGCGCCACAATGATGACACGACGAGGTCGCTTCCCTCCGTATGCGATGCAGGTAGCTGCCAAAGCATCCATGCCCTGACAGCACCTGCACCAGACGGAAGGTCAGCGACCCATGCCTCCTCTCCCTCCATTGACTCAGCACTGGCCGCAGCGCCTCCAGCGCCCGCAGGGTCCTGACCCCGAACTGCTGTGTCTCCAGCTCCTCGGTCCACTGCTCCATGACGAGTTCGTCCAGCCTACGCCTGTGGGCTATCACCTCCTCTGGTGCCAGTCGCTCCCCTCGTTGCCGGGCCTCTGCCCTTTGCCAGTATAGGCGGGACAGCGCCTTCGCCTCCAACGCCCACGGGGGTGACCCTGTCATTGCGCATACGGCCGCAAACGATGTGGTGCAGTACGCTCGCGCAGCCCTTTGCGCCACTATTCTTTGCGGCCTCTGCAGTAGGGCCTTGTTCCCCGCGCTTATGCATTCCGCCCAGATGGGCGCCCCATAGAGGGCCATACTCCTGATGACCCCAACGTACAGTTTGCGACAACTGGCGCTGGGGCCACCAACATTCGGCAACAGCCTTCCGAGCGCCGCCGCCGCACTGATCAGCCTTGGGGCCAGCTGCTTAAAATGGGCGTCGAAGCGCCACTTCGCGTCCAGCACCAACCCCAAGTATTTCAAGGTGGACTCTACTGGCACTCTGGCTTCGTCCACCTTGACATAGGCCCCGGCTGGCGGCTTACCCCTGGAGCTGTAAAACATCACGGCCCTTGTCTTCCCCGCTGCCACCATAATCCCCAGCATCCTTATCCTCCTTATTATCGAGCGAGTGCCTCGCTCTCGCTGATAATAAACATAACCTCAAAAAATATTAAGTTTTTCTGATAATTTAAGATCTCAGAAGTGTCCGTCAATAATCTTTGCTTTTACGGTCATTTACTTGCAATTTCGAAACTAGAAAATAATAATTCACGATTGTTGATTCTTAGGCTAACAATGTATGGACGCAGAACAATGTCCGAATATGCATTATTTCTTCTTTTCTTGCGGTTTTGTTTTTATGAAGTCGGTTTTTATTTCATTTTTATTTAAATTATTCCAAAATTGTTCGGAGTATGCAAGTGTTTATACGCACTCTAAGCAAAACAATACAACCTGACAACTACAATACCTATATAAACAGTATACTAGGGAGCGCCGGGACGCGTCGCGTCGGCCGTGTTTGGCAAAGTGACAGTACACACTTTAAAATAAAATTACTTTAAATTTAAATCAATCAAACGGAGGTCATTAACAAAATCGGTCGAAGCAATAAAATGACACCGATACGGAAATAGCCAAAATGTCAAGTCATTATTTTATTAATGTGAAAAAAGAACTCTGTACCCATTTTAAGCACCATCTGCGAAAGGAGGAGTATGAGAATTTGGCATAACGAAATATGATTTTGTGGAGCTGTAAAAAAGTTAATATTTTTATATTAGGTTCCAGGGCTCCACATGGTAGGAGAACATGGTAGGAGATTCATAGGGAGTCGGGTTAGGCAATTGCACGAGTGATAGTCTTGGGTTTCGCAAGCATCTATATGCTACGGTGGCTGCTGATCATAAATAAAGCGAGCCATATACTTCTTTGCCATCCTTTTAACATAAAAAATACTAGTGTCATGAACAGGCACTCTCATATAAATCCTCATCCATCTGGCAGGCATCCGATTTTATATCGCAACACCAGATATCATATCCCTTGTTTGATTGCTACCAGTTTGTAGGAATAAAATGAGGGTCGACTTCTTGGTCATTTCACTGACATTGGATATCAAGTTGTCTATTGCTATTCTAGCAATGTGATATGCCTAGTTTATATTGCATACATGAATCACATTAATGATAATATCAAAATCACGTTGCGACTATTTCAACTCACTAACTCCGACAAATTTATACCTATTATAGTTCTTAAGAATTTTACTTACTCGGGAATATAGTGCTAGAGTCAAAATCATAAAAATTACGAAGTAAGACTGTATACAGAAAGAATGTGGAGGTACACCCTTCGATCCACATTGAGCCCTCGAATGAAGTCATCGAAATTTAAGCAATAAGAGACCAAAAACTTATTATCTCGGGCTTCTCCATGTTCAGAAGACACGTCAAGCCATTTGTTCTGGCTGTAGTCGTTAGCACCCACCAATCCAGACTGGGCATGCGTGGTTGGCCATGGTTCAATCACTCAAATTGCCCAATGGACATTGAAATGATGATGATGAGAGGATCATAGTCCGGTATCCTTATTCCTTCCATAGCGTAAGCTAACATATACCGCAGCACTGAAGATATTAATGGGCTGGATAATGTTAATTATGATTTTCTCCTACCTACGTTGTGTTCGAGAACGGGCAGGCAAAATTCTCTATTATTATTTTTTAATATGAAAAAAAATAAATATGACCCGCCTGATGGTAAGCGGTCAACAAAGCCTATTGACGCTTGCGATACAAAAAATATTACTTGCGCCATTGCCTACACTGACCCAATCCCCTAAGCTGTGGAACCCTGGAACCTTACTCATTGACAGAAACACAACAGCATTAAAAGGTAGTGTTATTTAACCATGGTATTCCGTAAGGTGGTAGTTAATCCATCATCAAATCAAACCGTAATGGCATACCTACTAAAATAAAAGTTGTCAGCGTGAATTTTGCGCCTCACAAAGATCAATCCATCCTTAGAGTATTTGTGCACTGGAAATATATACGGTTCCTTTTGACTATAACTTGGACGACATAAGCCACAAATCTTAATAAACAAGTTGCATTCAAGCTCGGAGTTCTAACAAGTCTTGCAAAATAGTTATACGGCATGAATTATGTGCAACGTAAGTTAAATCCATATCCTTTTCTCTAATTAATAATTTATAGGAACCTACTCATCTTGATATAACATCATTGTAAAAATATTTTTATTTTCTGCAAGAGGCGATTTTCGGCAATTTTATTTGCAAATAATGGTACCCCATGCAACATTCATGATAATTTTTTCATGATTTTCGCTAAAAAGAGTTATTTTCTCATTCAAAATATTAGTATGAACAGATAGGTTACATAACTTTCTGAAGCTCTCTTGATGGATACGATTATTGTTTTATGATAGGTACTTATATCAACGCAGCTTTGTACCCTATATATTCTGCTATCCTAATTCGAGCCTTCCGTATGAACGGAATATAGATAATGACCCATGCGGATGCGGATTGATAGTTGCTAACGACTGCTGTTGCAGCCGAGATTGAGAAGCGTTCAGAAGCATGGATGAGCTCGAGATAATACATTTTTGGTCACCAATTTGTAAGCTGAAATTGGAAAAATTGCTTTACAATCATAAGCTCAGAATGAACACGCTAACTAATGCATCTTATTGAATTGGACTTCTCCTTTTCATTTTAATGTACAACTTAAAGTCAGTGATCTATTTTGCGATAAGTCATTAGCATCATGTTTGTATATTAATTAACCATTTAAAATTACAGATTCTTTCTCGTCTCGTTGCTTACTGCTGCTTATGCATCCATTATCAAAGAAATGTTACACACTCAGTAGTTTTCATGAATATTTGCATTCGTGCTTCATCAGGCGTTAGCTGCAGCCTCTTAAAACGGTTAACCGTTTGGTTTTATTATCAAACACTCGACCAGACCTCACTCATCAGGGTTAAAGCATCCACGGGCCGCATGCGTAGACCCTCTGGCTACAATAAAATGCTCAGTAGCCTTCCCATAACCGATGTGGGAAGACGTCCCGACACGTCACTGAGTCAAACGCTGACGATGTTACGCGAATCGTCGCAAAGTTGAAATATAAACTAATGAAGTGAGAAGTGCAAAGTGAAAATTTATAAAACACGATAGTGATTCAAGGAAATAAATTTTAGGCATTTAAAAGGATTAAAATTGCGGATAAAATCTTAGGGTTTTTTTATTATTTAGGACTAGGATAAGTTAATTGTTTCAAGTGCATTTTTAAACGTTAAAATAACTACTTAAAACCGTAAGTCGATACAATCATAAGTTCGATTGAATTTTTGTGCAACCTTAATTATTGAAAGTGTTTAAAATTATCAATCCATACTATAAAATACACGTTAAGTAAAAATATAGAATATTAACATAAACTTTGTAAAGGTAAATAAAGAGACAGGATGAATATATTCAGATTCACAAAGAAAAGTTTGCTATCGATCTATTTATAGTTTTATTAAATCCTCCAGCTGATTCCTGGAAATTTTACACGTAGGCATGTATGTTTTTTTTTCGATAAGGTAATTTGTTAGATTAGGGGATTTCCTGAATATGGAGATTGATTGTGACCTTTTCCAAAATTAATAATTTATTTTACATTTTCTTTCTCAAAATTTTGTTGTCAATGGGGTTTCTAGTGAATTTATGAGAACTTGATTGAAGAGTTTTCGTCGCCAGGTTAGAAAATGAATTTTATGAGAGTGGGATTACTGAGTGCCCTTCAGAAAGATTGATAGTGTCGACATACTTAGGTAATACACGATGATTCAATGTTTGACTTATGACGTTTTATTTTGTATGAGTAGGTACGTGATTTTTTTAAGTCGTGGATATATTATATTAGGCAATATAATATCTCATTAAAAATATTTTTTTTGTATTTTGCTATCTTTTCTTTCCATTATATGATGTAAACAATTAAACATGGTATATTCAAATTTGTCTATAAAAAAAGTCTTCATATATAAAGCTTTATCGGCCAGTATTTACTTATGGCTGTGTTTAGATATATTTTGCCGGGGACAGAATTATTAAAGCTGTGACATCAAGTCCCACTTACACCTAAGTTCTTAATACAAATAAAGACAATCGTGCTTATCACCATAATTGTATCTTTGTCAAAATGTAGAGAAAGAATGAGGATCATACATGTTTAGATGATGATGAATGATGATGATTGTGATTGTACTCGACTACAGCATGCGGACCAAGTTAGTTATCTAGGTATTGTCATAGACAAAAATCATGGTTTTCATGATCATATCAATTAACTGACATATAGAGTCAGAAAATTGATTTACATTTTTAGGAACAGGCGTCATGTTACTGATGAAATAATAATAAGACTTACTTAGTTAGCACTTCGTCAGTGTGTATTGACGTACTGCATTCCGATGTGGGGTGGGATACCTAAATCTAGCCTTATTAAACTAGAGCATGCACCGAGGGCAGTTTTAAAGGTAGGTTATTTTCTCCTGACTTACATCCTACTCTGGACTTATACCGGAAATTTAAAGTGCTAACGGGTAGGCAACTTTTTATCCTTTACACTGTGATTAGAACACACAGCTCGTAAACATATAATCCCAGGTTTGTCAGATAAAGGATTTCAAAACCAGTTTTTCCCACTTTGCATGTTTTTTAGGTCCGATGTTATATAATAACATAAATCATAATGTTCCTATTTCAAGGTATCAAATTAAAGGGGTTTTGAGTGATTGGCTTCTAGGCTTAACGTACACTGAAACTGAAAACTCTCTTTTTTTTTGGTTTTGATTTTCGATTTAATAGAGTTTGTATGGCAAATGTATATGCATTTCTTATACGCACGCACCACATGCAAGCTTACACACACACACACACACAAACAGACACCCACACAAACACACCAACACACATGCACACACTCAAACACCCGCGTAGATACACACAAATTAGTTATTAGTAGCGTTAAATTAGAGTCATTAATTTAAGTACATTATATATTATATCATTTATTCTCTCGTGAAAAAAAATATGAGCTTATTTTATACTAAAGAGTAGTATGAAAGTGATGACCAGCGGAGTGGGACCCTGATGATCTGTAAGACAGGTTTCACAACCTAGTGCAGACACCAGTCTCAGGAAAGGTTAAATTGTTAATGATACTTTGTAATTTATCATGTAAGTCTTTGTAACCCTTCTTAAGATAAATAAAGAGATTATTATTATTCGGGAAAGTTAGCAGCTGGCACATTTACTATTTTTTTATCCTCGGTTCAAAATTGGAAATTCTAGTCATATTTATATGTTAATGTAATCAGTTTAACGTAGTCGACGCGTTACGTAGGATGTAACTCAGTTAATTGGTTTGTCTTCCCACCAAAGGCTGTAGAATGACAACTTGTAACGAATAGAAATATTAGCATATAGACGCATTAATTTTACAGATTCATATACGATTATTTTACTAATCTAATTACGAAGTCGTAAGTGAAATGTACGTTAAGCTTAAATTTCTTATTTTGATGGTAAGGGGCCACCATCATTGCCTATAAACGCTTGCAAAACCAAAAATATCACTCGCGCCACTGCCTACCCTTGAATATGTTACTTTCCTAAGCACAGGTACGCTGCATGTGCAGTATATTTGGGTTGGAGCTCACCAATACCAGAGCCTTGCTCTTGATCGGATTCAAAAGCAGGTGGTTCGACCTCTATTGATGATTCTGAGCCGAACTGATATGTTGCAGCCCTTATGCTTGTGTCCTTTTCGTTTAAATATGGAAAATGGTGCGAGTGGCTGCTCTCGTGGTGAAGAAAATTTCACACACCGCAGAGATCAATTTCTCCCCTACCGCTTAGAAATTTGACGTCAAGCACTATTATAAGGTTATGAGCGTTCTTTTTTACCGCGCACCAGCAATATCTGGAATGAACTTCCTTCAGCGTTTTCCTCAGCTTTCAAAAAGCAGGTTAACTGATTCTTTCAGAGTTGGTAATGCATGAGTTCCCTTACTGCTGTAAGTGTGTATTTTGCGGCAGTAACTACTTTATTACCTTATCATCAAGTGCTTATCGACATATTTCAGTGAAGATTTTTATTACTTTGCTGATACAAATATCACAAAATATTATAAAATAAAGTCAACCGTCGCGCCCAGCGCTTTTAATGTTCACGATGATCTTAAACACTATTAAATGGATTTTGTTATCGTTTTCAACTTTACTTATATGTTTTTCACTATAGTACATACAGAGCAAGTCACTTGTAATATTATAAAAATGAGTATGTATGTGGTTCTTTCTATTATATTGTCACGACATAAGATGCAAAGTAGCTGGGAGGCAAAGGACTCCAGAAAATAAAACTTGAAGGGAGTTCAGTGTGAGTGAGTTGTATTGGAATCCAATTAACCCTCGGAGACTTAGGCCACAGACTCACGGTTGTTTTAACTGCAAAGTTTATTCTGTCACTGAGTAATAATAATTTAATGCATATACCTTTTTGCGCGGATTATTATAAAGTTTGGCGTGGTGCTGGATTGCGCGTTAACATTGAAAGGAGTGATTTTCGAAATCAAACTGTTTATGGGGAACCAAATAAATTGTCGTTATCAGAAGAAGTTTCGAAAAACATATAGTAATAAATTAATAATAATAAATTCATTTATTTGCATCACAAATTAATACAATTAATAATAAGCAGACATAAATGATTATAAGTTTAACAGTTCTTAAATAACTAGTATGAACTACAATCATTAGTGAGTGACAGTGATGCAAATAGGCAGAAGCTCATCAGTGTTTTTGCTTTAATAGACAAAATGCTGATTTTCAGCAACTGCTCGTAGGAAGCGCGAGGATGTAGGTACGCTGCAAAGCTGGCATTGTAATTCCCTAGTCCCACACAAACACAACACACGAACATCGTTTACTCCATTATTAATTTACCTAGCAATATTTGTTAATAAAATTTTCTAAATAATAATAAATAAATGTATGTAATTAATCATTAGAAAACAAAATTGTGTAGACAATATTAAATAAAAATGTGTAAGTAATAATATAAAATATAAATTTTAATTTGAATGTCAAGAAGATTGAATGCTAACAGAAGAACCTCCACCAAAACGACAATTAGTGCGTATGCCTAAAGTTTGCAAATTCAGTAAGGCTAATTTAACTTGCTTTTTGAAAGTGTACCTTGATATTACGTGTCTTATAGGAGGAGGTAAATCATTCCAACATTTAGTCGCTTGGTGGCGGAAACTACCTGTAAATGCCACTGTCTTATGTTTTTATATATGTGTATTTAATATGAGTGAGACTCTCCCCTTTCTGCTCTGCAATACACGTGATTTCGATGTCATTCAGCAAAAGGTCCTGGTCGCGTTCATTGAGCTCGGCCTTAGCTGCTCAATACAGACAGTAAAAGATTTGTCAACCGTTTCACTGGAGACGCGGCTTTCCAAATCATTAAGTCGCTCGCCTATTTTAGTAACCTGTCTTTCACAAACGGTTAATCTATCAGACAGTGCACCAAGAGTCTCATTAATGCGCTCCATATGTAAACGATTGAGTCGTGATTCCTCTCGTAATTCATCCCTGAAGGTACGCATCTCCAATGCAAATATTTGGAATTCGCTCATTTCGATGGCCATATTGTGAGAGGTGTCATTAAGAACCGATTGCTCCCGCACGGACATATTCAGGTCTACAGGGCTTTTAGCAGCAGCTCCACGCTGCTTAGTGACGCCACAGTCCACAGCTGCACGAACAGGGGTGTTAGAATTGTCAGTTTTTGGCTGTTTACTTTTACAAAGGACACATCTCCAGGCGTCTCGGTGCTCTTTAGTGAGCGTGTTAAAAAAACGCTGTTCCGAGACGTTAGCGCAGGCTAGGTCGTAGCACTGATTACAACCGCCACAAAATAAATATCTCCTATCAGGAATTGTTTGCCGACATCCACTACAAATCATATACTATAAACTAGTTGCAGTAAGACTGCACGCCACAGAAATATCAAAGAATCACCAAATCCGGAAAAGTTTTACTATGTGGCAACACTTTGGGCTTGTCAAAGTGAAAACT